GAAAGAAAGAAAGAAAGAAAGAAAGAAAGAAAGAAAGAAAGAAAGAAAAGAAAGAATCTTCTGAGGATTGCCTGGCCCATATGGGTAATGGCCTTGCCAGTCTACCATAGGCCATTGATACCTAAGCCCTGGACAGGCCTTGCTCATGTCGAAGTACACATTCATAGGACTTCACTCACTTGGGGCTTCCTCTGCTCCCTACATAGGCTGGTTCTAAAAATTCAAGGCCAATGGCTCTCTTATGATTTGTATCACATATAACAGCAACCCTTTCAACTGAAGAGGGTCTCAACTTTAAAACCAGGGGGCACATCTGTTTTATGCTTTTTCTCAGATACTAAGGTAACCCTTGATGTTTCAGAGGATTGGATCAAAAATAGCTATATAAAAGAAACATCTTTAGTTTCATGATGGACATGGGAAAAAAATGCTGGCAAAGAAAACCAGTAGATAGGTAACTACTATGCACAGTTTATCAGATGAACAAGTCTCACTGTACTTGTTTATGCAGCAAAGTTTAATAGACAATATCAAGTTGTTCCTTGGTATATGATACCATCTATACTGATGCTTCACCAAATGTCATTAGTTCGAAAAACCAGAGCAGTCACATAAGTGTATCATGGGTGAACACCTTTCTATGATAACGTCTTAATGAATGGGATCAAAGCTGAGACAGACCAATCAGAGTCTATGGTGTAGTGATATTTACTCTAGCTACCCCTTCACAGATTATATGGGAAATCTACCCACCCATCGTGACAGAAGATGGCCTTCTCTGGCTACCCACCATAGTTACAGCTACTTAGTCCTGGTTTGCCTTGGGTAAGTGAAGACAGTAGAGGATCCATGAGATCCATGCCTATCTGGAATTTGGAAAAAATCAATATCTAGAAACTGATATTTTAGAAGTGTAAAATTTAAATAATGAGTTGGTAGTGGAATTAGGACAGGAGAGGCTAAAGCAGCATGTTCAAGGGTATTGATTGACTGAGATCCAATCTGACTGATTGACAATCAGAAAGAGACCAGCCTTTATTAGAGATAATTTGTCACCTTGATCCTTGTAGATAACTCTACTAACTGGAGGGAATGAAGAAGAGGGTGGAATGATGGAGGAGAAAGAGGGGAGGCAAGAAGAGAGATGGGAATTAGAGGGGAGGTGGGTTACCCTTGACTTTAAGCATTTCCCCTAGTAACAGGTATGAAAGATCCTTCACAACCTCCCTGGAAAAGGTTGAGACATCTTGTGAGGCAAAAGACTGCAGAACAGAGACAGACTATCTCAGCAAGTGTGTCTGTGTTTGAACAGACCAAGTCTAGAAAATGAAAGAACCTTGCAGGTAGGTCCTGGTAAGTTGTCAAACTTGTTTTGTGTTGGATGGGACCAACCACATATTCATCCTCCCATTTAATGAAAGAGCATGACATTCCCCAAGGAAACTACTCTAGTAAACCAAACTTACCCAAATAAGAAATAAATAACTCTTCCCACCTTGTAATTCCATTCTTATTATTAGTGAATGCATCAATCATTAACAAAATCTTTGTTAAAAAATAAAAAAATATTTGTTCCCCTTCTATCCATAAAGAGATTCATAGAATGCAACGCAACCTCAATAAAGTTGCATCTATACAACAAACAATCTAATGCCATTGAGTAATTAATCTCTTTCCAGGTCTGATTCATCCCTGGTCAATTGTGCTAAAGTATGCTCATATGATGTGGATAACAATGAGTAACTGATCCTGTAGACAAACATGGGCTTTATGCTTTCCAGAAGCAGATTACAACAAGCACATTTCCCACCTTTGCAGAACATTGGGCGTCCACTGTGGGACTGTGTAAGAGTATTCTGGGTCATGGCTGGGAAGTTGCCTAGAACCCCGAGACTCTGCATGAGAACCTGCAGGAGTTCGGTGCGTCCCTAGAACCTAGGGCCCTGAAAAGCAGTCTAGTCTACATAGAATTACATTGTTCAGTCATGTAGGCCAGACAGCCCCTCCCAAAGTGCACAGGTAGAGGGCGTGACTAGAGGCCTCAGGCCCTAGGGATTTACATACTAATGAAGGCCAGAGGGCGGAGCAAATTAAGCATGCCTCCCCAGATCCTCCCCCTTTCTCCCTCCCTATATAACTCGGGACTGCCCTGAGTTTTACGGGGGTACTTCCAGATTCATCCACCATCCGCCATGACAATAAACCCTTTAGGAACCAAGGACTTCCTCATGTCATTGGGGCCTGCCGCCAAAGCCTTCAGGCCACTGGAACCTTAGATGCTCCTCCTACGTGTGGGACCGGCCGCAGCATGGAAAGCCTCCGGGACTGAGACTCTACTGCTGTGGCCTATAATTATTTCCCACAGTCCACCAGTATGCTCATTTTGCTTCTTGTACTTGCGTCTAACAAAGCTTTACCTGATTCTAGATTGTTTGAACTGATGACAGGTGGTATAGAACAATCGGAAGTGATAGAGCGGAAGAATAAGAAGTGAGGTACTTACTGGGTCCCAGACCAATTGAAAACGCAGCCACATAAACAAGCAAGCTGGCCAGGGACAGCCATTTGTAAGCAGCTGGGATGACTGCAGGGTCTGTGACTCCCTGGTGTGCAGTTTGGCTCAGTCCAGCATTTGGTAAAGATGTGAAGGTCATCTCCCCTTTCGGATCCATGCCATTCCCCATGGGCATAAATGAGCCCTTGCTGTAGGGAGTGATTCTTTTAAAGTGCTCTCTGATACTGCTGTTGCTAATCGACAGGTTTCCTGTTGCATAGAACACAAACTCCTCCAGGGACTGGTTAAGAGGACTATGGCTTCTGCAGATGTTGGTGAAGTTCATGTTGATATTGAGATTCACAACGCCCATGGTCAATAGGGAAGCAGCCATCACAGAGGAGCCAATGCAGAGGAAGGTTTTGCTGCCAACATGGTCCACAAGGAGGGTTGCAGGGATGGTGCTAACCACTTTGACCACTCCAACCCCAGTGGAGGCAAGGCTAGCTGCCTCATTGCTCTGGAAGCCAACAGACTTCAAGACCGTTGATGCATAGAATAGTATGTTTGGCTGGCCAGTGGTTTGGACAAAAAATACCAGTGTTAGCCCTATCAGGATTCTGGTCCTCATGTTGTCCTTGGACCGAAACAGATCCCAAAACCTATACTGATACTCATCTTTCAAGGAAGATTTGATCAAAGTGAGTTCTTCGGTGGTGTCTGAGATCACTCTTAGCTTCCCAAGGACCTTGCCCGCAGCCTCCTCTTGTCCCTTCATCACCAGGAAACGAGGACTTGGGGGAAGAAAGTACATTGCGATTGCTTGCAGAACCCCCAGGGGAATCACGAGGCCAAACATATACTTCCAACCATTGGAGATGTTGGCAAATGCGTAATTTAAAATATAGGCCAAGAGGATACCAGTGACAATCATCAGCTCGTTCAGTGACACAAGAAGTCCTCTTCTGTGTTGGGGGGCAATCTCCGCAATGTACACACACGTGGCAATGGAAGAGAGGGAGATAGAAACCCCTATAGCAACACGCCCCATGATAAGAAGTGTGTAAGACAAACTCATTATCAAGACTAAACTTCCAAGTCCTAGGAGGCAGGATGACAGGATTATGGTGAGCCTTCTTCCATACCTGTCTATCAGCATGCCTCCACTAAGAGAGGCAAGGAATGCCCCAATGAGGAGGGAGCTCACAACCATTTCCTGCTCCTGGCAGGTCAGGGCTAATAGTGTTCTGATCTGCAGAAGAGCTCCAGAGATGAGCCCAAGTTCATAACCCACTAGGAGGCCGCTGATGGCTGCGGTAACAGAAGTCAGGAATGTGAACATGCTGGGACCTACAAGCAGGAAAGAAAAATGGTGAAATCAGTCCAAGAGATCATCCCAAACACATCATATCCAAATGGAGACTTGTCCCTGGGTAAGACTTTCACAATATTGGCTTTAGACACATACAACCAACCAGGGTTAAAAAAAAATACCGTGGTAGAATAAGACACTAGCCAAAAAGATAATTAACAACATCAGGAAAAATCTTTTTTTTTTTCTTTGTTGTTTAGGGGAAGACATGTGGAGGCATTTACGAAGTCTGGCTTCCTTCTGGCTAGAGTGTTGAGGTTGTTTTTAGTCAAGAGTAAGGAGCTATAGGAGATAAGCAGCTGGCAGATGATAAAGACAGAACAAAGTTACCAGTCAGTGCATGCCTCTGGCATTGGATTAGATGTCCAGATAGCCTGCCTGTCCCAGCCCAACCCAGTTCCTTAAAGACAAACTTCCAAGGGCAGGTAGAAGGAAAGGAACCTCTACAAGAAGGTGTGAGTTCCTGGCTAGGTGGAGCCCCACAGAAACCAGCCTCTGAGTCTCTTGCCTTCATTCCTCATTGGTTACCATTAAGCTGTACTTGACCTTTGCCAGTGCCATAGAGGTGAGAGCAGGAGGTGTAGGGACAATTGAACAAAGTCAAGGAAGAGAGAAATAAATGGGGACAAGCAGCCCACAATGTCTGTTGCTCATGGGATGAAGAAGGAGGGTGGCATGCAAGAGAGGGGAACAAAGGGGACTGAAATTTTCCTTTATAATATAAAACCCTAGGGGAAAAGGTGAACAGTTATTACTTTTCAGTAACAGGTATGCAGAGATAGAGATAGAAATAGATAGAGATATATGTATATACACGAGACATATTGATAGATATAGATAATGTGAAAAGCCCAAAACAGAACAAATGGGAAATGTTGTTGGCAGGGGAAAGAAATAGACATAATATAATTTAATACAATGTCATATAAATTTTATATTAATATGTAATTATATTACTATATAATATTAACATAATATAAATTTACATTTACATTCTATTTTATTTCATAGTAGATAGAGTGGCAGCCATTTCTGAGACATAATAGTGAAGCCCTTGTCATGTCTTAGGAACAGTGAGGAAGACAGCATACAGCATATGTACCACAACATGAGCCTGCTGGTAGGGAAGGCGGAGAGAGAGCTTGGATAGGTACAGAGGAGGCACTGTGTGCAGGGGAAGTCACTGTGACACTTTTTATTGTGTTCCAAGTACAACAGGCTACACATCCACTAAGTCAGAGAGCATGGACACCACAGTTTTCCTGGTTTGGAAGGTATGATTGCTTCAGTAGAGAAATTTGGTCTTCAAGGTCCAAGAGTGGTCTCTGGTTTCAAAGACTTCACTGACAGAAGATGACACTGGCTCAGGTTTGAGAGCTCAGGTGGAACTGGAGACAAGTCAACACAGGCAAGGCTTCCTGTCAAGCCAAACAAGTGCCATGAGTATAACTTCTCATGGATTGGCAGTGGACTAAGCCAGGGGGTTGATACCTTAAATGGCACTTGGGTTAAGCAGTCAAATGGGTACTTCTACAACAGCCAATATACCTATATGTGTTTGCATAGACTGCCTGGTATAACATGACCTTCTAGGAAAAGTCAGGAACGGAACTGTTTGCGTATAGTAACAAGAGACACGAACACCAGAAGCTTCATTTTAGACTTACTAAAATATTTTCTTCATTTCCCCTGAAAGATAAAAATGTCCAGCAGGGACACATGAGTGTCTGGGGCAAATGAAGGCTGAAGAGATAGAGCAAACACAGTGTTTAAAACCACAGGAATGGGTGACGTCACTTAGGAAGGTAGAATGAAAGAAAAGCAACAGGGCTAAGACAGGGACCTTGGGGACTCCCATATGAGGGCCAAGAACAAAGGTGGTGAAGCAGTAACCCTGACCTGGCTAGGTTGGAACGAGTACATGGGCCCCACTCTCATAGGCTGAGGTGCGGCCATTTAACTCTGCCTGCTCCTGAAGGTGAACAGGATGACATTTTTAAATGGTATTCAGAAGTCAAGCATGGGGTAACACGCCTTTAATTTCAGCACTCAGGAGGCAAAGGCAGGCAGATCACTGTGAGTTCAAGGCCAGCCTGGTCTACCCAGCTAAGGCTCCTTTGGGAATCCCTGTCTCAAAACTAAAACCAAACCAAAACAAAAAAACCTATTCAGCTCTCCTGAAAAGAAATAGGTTGTAATTAAGGTGATCTAGGCACCAAATAGCCAAGGTATTCGCCACCACCAGCAATTTAGTGGCATATGTTTATGGACAATTAAAAATAAACAAATAAATTGAGGCGAGTGTTGCAACTTGATTGCTTAGCATGCTTAAAGCCCTTGGTTAAGTTCCTGCCACTGCATAAAGACTGAGTTTGGTACACATGCCTGTGTTCTTACCACTCTGGAGGTCTAAGCAAGAGGATCTGGAAAAGTTGAAGGTACACATAAAATTCAAAGTTCACTTGGGCTGCAGAGATTATGTCTATAAATGATAGATAGATAGATACATAGATAGATAGATAGATAGATAGATAGATAGAACAAGCCATAGTAAGATAGACCAGTGAATAAGAATAAAATAATCCACATCAAATAAATCATATACAGCTAACGTATAAGAATTAAGCCATTAGATTGCTGTATCAGCAATCCATGTAAACAGAAAATAACTATTAAGAACCTTTATATAACATAACCTTTTCTAGGTACCAAAATACACAGAAATTCACATACACACGGAGAAAATAAATATGGTCTCTGCCTTCAAGAAATTTAATCACCTGGTGACATTTATTATGTCTGTTTTGTTTTAGCATATTCTAAATGACTTAATCTCTTATAGGTTCATTTATGTCCTCGGTTTCCATGTGTATCACCTTTCTCTCAGACGATCTTTAACATTCCCATCAGCAAACTCTACTACTGCAAAGAAAATCAGTAAAACTCTCCTAATTGGATTACAATAGCATTGTCTGTCTGTCTGTCTGTCTGTCTGTCTGTCTGTGATAAAGTGCACTTTGTAGGGAAAGGGTGTTTCCCTACAAAGGGGACTTCTGATGTTTCAGGGGTTCCCTCCTTTGATGCTGGTTCTGCTACTTTGCCTTAGAGAGATCTGCAGGCATCAACAGGGTAGTGGCTTCTTCCAGTCTGGTAGAAGAACTACTCCTTAGGGGAGAGGGGCCTGGCTGGCTCCTGCTGCTGCTTTCTGGACTCAGATCACTTGCCTCTTTCCTTAGCCAGGGCACAAAACACTGACAAACAGGGATATGTGCAGAGGGTCTGGATGCCATCCAGGTTTGTGAATGTCCTTAGGACCCGGAATACTGAGTACCGCTTTTCAGCGATTAGTGATGGCATTTATCTATGGATTATTGAAACATTTTACTTTAATCTGCATACATCAAAGCATATTACTCTCTCAATATCTATCTGTTTTATCTGTCTCTGGCCAATTTACCTTTAAAAGTTAAAACCTTAGAGTAGAATATTCTATTACCTTAGCCATTATGGGAAGACTTTACTAACGGTGATAAGAATCAGGGACTTAGTTGTCGTTTAAACTCTGAATGTCCTGGTTGTGTGTTTCAAGGAGCACTATCCAAACTATTTTTCTTACCTTGCTGCTGGAACTTATGACAACTGAAGTTCCAGTCCAAACCAGAGGCTGCCCCATTGGGTTTGGAATTCTAGCTCAGTGTATAATTCCTCCAAGATGGCCTCCTCTTCTCAAGACCTCCAGCAGAGAACATTTACCTGGTACTGCTTGTTCATATAAAAGTCATGAAGAGAGACATAGATGAGCCTTTTCTTGGGTCTACTTTTTGGTTAATGATGATGATAGAAGCAATATGTCATCCTATAGATGACAGGAAGTAGACATAACTTTCTGGAGAAATCTGGCAGTAAACTGAATGAAACAGGATATAGTCTGAGGCAATGGCTGGAGACAAATAGTCTGTGTTTGTCGAAAAACAAATGGAAGAGTTTGGGGCAGCAGGATGGCTTGAGGTGAAGTAGCCAGGGCTAGAGCAGAGAAGAATACGACCCAAATTTAATGTAACAAGAAAAACCATTCCCGGACGTCAAGTCAGAAGCTTGCTTGCAGCTTCTCCCAGTGTTTTCTTGTGACCCTGATACAAGTATCCCTTCTTTCACGTGGCTATTCTCAACAAAAGTGCCATGGGGACCTTGCAGCTTTGTACGCCGCCGAAGCAAGCAGAGTGTGGAAAACGTATGGCAGAAAGGGAAACTATTGGAAACCCACAGGCTGTTTGTTGGGTTACGCTTGTGCCTGTGTCTTCTGGCTACTTTACTGGGAGGCCCACACCTGCAACGGATGATGCAGCGAGGATTCCATATCAAGGCAATATGAAGATGTGACTACAATCAAGATGTCATATACAAAGGAGCCGTAAGACACACGGGGCCACAAAGAGTGGGCTGGCAGCGGACACAGGTCGGGGACAGCAACGCTGGCTGCCACAACAATAGCCACACTGTCTCTGCTCATGGCCAAGTCACATGAAACCATGGATGTACCTCACACTCAACACGAGATGCTCCATTTTCCACAATATTTGAGTTTCTGCCTGCTTTCTTTTCCCCTTTCTTCCCCAGATGCCAGCGATACATAATGGGCACTCAATAGATACTTGCCGCCCCACTAAATCACACAGTGGGCTGAAAAGCGTGTGCGCACAGCTTCCCTTGGCGGGCAGCCAGGTGATTATACAGCTTGACCAACCGTGAAAGCTTCCCAGATTTATAGAACCATCCTCCGTGTATTGTTCAAGAAAAACTCGCAGTTGCCTCTCCAGCTGCCCAATCACTGTGCCCGCCACTTCCTGCACTATTTCATCCGGGTGCCTTTTATCCCAACTCATCCTTCAACGGACACCTCAAGTGCCACCACCCCTGGGAAGACCACCATACGTGCTGTCATCGTCCTGCCTGGCTGTGTTCTGCTGGCTCAGTCCAG